AGTGGGAGATACAAGGCATGTTGAGTCCCATAGTTTGCTGATTTACACATAGTTAGGTACTCTAACTTTCTAGCTTCTGAATATTAATATTAAATTACTATCTTAGATCTGTGGAAATAGTTTTTCCCAATAATTTGTTTTCATTGCCAGGGTAAAGCGTTCACATTTCACTCTGTCTTCTGCTCCCCACAGTTTCTGAAATTATCTCAACCTTCCTCATCCATCTTTTCCTATGGTCACTCTTTGGTACACCCATGACCAATTTATCTTTAATCAATGTCCTCTGACAGGCATGGGGAGAAACATACAACAGAGCATCTAATTGCACTCTAGATGCTTGGAATTGTGTTGCGGAGACAGCAACATCAATATAGTCAAATGGAAAGACACCGTCTAACTGGTTCCAGGCCAAGGAAAGGAAGAATCAGTTACAACTGAAGAAGGTTTTTGATGAACAATAAAGATTTAGTAAATGTGTCAAGAATGCTTTGGGTGGAGAAATCCCAACATAAATGCTCTAAGCCATTCTGATATACTACCCAAAATACTTCTTTTAAGCCTAATTCCTCATGTCTCAAAAAGTGTTCTCCTGTTTTAGAGTACCAGATTTTGTTTCTTGAATTTCTGTTTCTTGGACTTTTCCTATCCACCTCTTCTCCATACTGACTCCTTTTCCATTCCCCATTCCTAGACTGCCCTTATTTCTTGTCATATTTTTTAATTCTCCCTGAATAAAATATTTATATTCTCAGATCTATAATTTATTGTGATGTATTTGCCTCACATATCTATCACCCCCTAACCATATATGCCTTCCATACTTTAAAACTTTTATTTTATTTATTATTATTATTATTTTTGCTGTTTTGGGTCACACCCAACGATGCACAGGGGTTACTCCTGGTTCATGCACTCAGGAATTACTCCTGGCCGTGCTTGGCGGACCATCTGGGATGCTGGGAATCGAACCCGGGTTGGCCGCATGCAAGGCAAACACCCTACCCGCTGTGCTATCACTCCAGCCCCAACCATACTTTAAAACTTAAAAAAAAATTTTTGGATTACACCCGGGCATTTCTCAGGGGTTAAATCCTGGCTCTGCACTTAGGAATTACATCTGGTGGTGCTCCAGGGACCATAGGGATGCCGAGGATTGAATCAGGGTCAGACGCATGCAAGGTAAACATCCTACCCTGCACTATCACTCTGGCTCTTACTTCAGGAACTTTTAAGTATTCATCACTGAATTACAATGGACACCTCAAAAGTGGGACATTTCAAATCAAACTTTACATTCCTTCCCCAAAACTTTTGCACTATACATGTTTCTTTCTTGGTTTTAATTTAACTATTTTTCAGTCCCCTGGTCTTGGAAACTAGATAAGCTTTATATCTGTACCATTTGCCATATTTTCCTCAGTCTTAATCTAACAGTCTATTAAAGTAAATTTAGAAGTCACAAGTGAAGCACCAAATCACTCCCCTGTTCAGACACCTCCACCCTTTCCCTTCTTTGGCATCAACTTTGACATTTTGTTACTTTAAAAAAGGTTGGTATACACTACAGGATAGGCATATGAATAAAGAAATCTTAATTTATTGAGAGACTGATGAGGCAGGAGACAGAAAAAAAATTCCTTAGATTAGGGCTGGAGAAATAGTGAGACATTTGCCTTGTATGTTGCTGGCCCGGGTTTAATCCCTGGCACTCCATTTGATCCCCTGAACCCTCCAGGAGTAAAACTGAACACAGCCGGCTGGACCCCCATTGCAACAAAAATTTTGTCAGACCTCAGATAGTCTACTTGTATCCCCCTGTCTTGGGATCCTTTGTATTAGGAAGAGAGATGAAGGTGGGATATTGTGGGGAGTCTTCTGCTTGGTAGACTTTTATTATTTTGGCCAGTCATGACAAGAAGAGGGACATAGAAGTCATCTTTCATCTCTACATCTGTATGATAATATTTCCACACACAGTATGAGGGTCCCTGAATAAATAGGATAAGGATTTTCTAACAATCTGTTATGATGTTTTTCCACTTATTTGTTTCTGAAACATTACTTATAACATTAAGATGTTTTTAGTTCTTACTGGACAATTTTATTTATTTGTTTATTTTTAAATTTAAATTTATTTTTATAAAGTTCACAATGATATATTACATTCAATATTCCAACACCAATCCCACCACCATTACATCTTCACACCATCATTATTTCCAATTTTCCCAACCACCATCCAAGCAGGCACTAAATAATTTATCCAACCACCACTTGCCCCAATAGCAGGCCCTAAATAATTTATCTTGTATTTCTTGTTATGAATCATTCACTAAAAATAATTAAACACTTTCCTTAAAAAAAGTGCGTGAAGATTGTTGTAGCTCACCCTGAAACCATTAAGCCCTTGTATAAGAGATGTCTATACCATCTTGTTACAGGTTGAAACTTCTGTGCTAATATTTTCTTAATCGAGATTGGTTGCCTTCTACTCTATATCCCATCCAATGTGGTTTGCTATTCCTGGTATAACAGTGATGTAGAGTATGAGATGTCATGAGATCGCAAATACAGCCATGTGTTCCAAGAATTCTAAAATTCTGAATAGAGTGATACAGCTGGAGTTAATTTTTTTGGGGGGGTCACACCTGGCGATGCACAGGGGTTATTCCTGGCTCATGCACTCAGGAATTACTCCTGGAGGTGCTCAGGGTACCATATGGGATGCTGGGAATCGACCCCGAGTCGGCTGCATGCAAGGCAAACTCCCTACCCACTGTGCTATCGCTCCAGACCCTGGAGTTAATTTTTAACTGAATGGTGACTGGATGGTGACTGGACTGGATGATGGATGGGGTCCAGAAGCATCTCTGCAGCTTATTGACCTCTTTCTTTTCTTTTTTTTTTTCTGTCTAAAGTTACTTTATTATTTTTGTTTAATTTAATTAAATTTTTTTAAATGAATTATTGTGAGGTACAGTTACAGACTTACAAACTTTCGTGCTTATGTTTCAGTCATACAACGATCCAACAATCAAGTACCCATCCCTCCATTAGTGCCCATTCTCAATCACCAATGATCCCAGTATTATCCCTCCCACCACCACCTCCGCCCAATTCTACCTCCCCCCACCCCGCGCCTCTGTGGCAGGGCATTCCCTTTTGCTCTCTCTCTCCTTTCGGGTGTTGTGGTTTGCAATAGAGGTATTGAGTGGTTATCATTCGGACTATAGTCTACTTTCAGCATGCATCTCCCATCCCAAGCAGACCCTCCAAGCACCCTTTACTTGGTGGCTTATTGACCTCTTTCAAGGTTTATTTATGAGTCTCTGGATCATGGCTGGTTAGTGAGCTTATATAGTGCCAGAGGCAGTTCATTGGCATGACTGCCATGAACTCCTGGAAGAACAGGGGGATGAGGGGAGGTCAGCCATCCCCAACTCCATGAGAGCCTGGAGATTTTGGACACAAAACCTGTATACCTGAGTTTTTCAACAGATTCATTCCTGGATGAGACTCGTCCTGAGCTTGTGAATTCTGGCTATAAGCATGGTGACAATTGGATTGTGGAGGTTTTCAACAGGTTGTTTGGGTGGGTGGTGGGCTCACCTGTGCCTCCTTACTGGACAATTTTGAGAACTGAGAATCAAACAACTTATGGCAAAAAAAGTCTTGCTTGTTAACTTTTATTGCTGCAACAGATTAGCTCTGTGAAAAAAAGCTCTGAAAATGAAAAACAGGAGTAAGAAAAAATCTTTCTTTGAATAAGAAAAATCTTTCTCTGGGAAAGATCTGTTAATTCCAGTTTGGTAGATATCTATAATTGAATATCCTGTAAAAACTTCAAGAACACTACAACATTTATTTTTAATGAAAAGTGAATGCTGGGCAGTTTCACTTGGAGAAGTCTTTCCCAGAGTAGATGATAGCCTTTCACTTTCTCTGAAAGGGGTTGTTGAACAATCAGGGATGGGTGGTAGTGTTCTAGGATACAGCTGGGAAGCACTTTCTATTTGCTAACTTAAGGCACATTTCCAGTAAGTTGCTGAATAATTTTTTTCAACCAATTTTCTTTTGAAAAGTGGGTAGTAAGCCAAATAAGTTTGGGACCTCTGACTTAGAAGATGGAGTTTCAGAATCTTTCCTAACTCCAGTTTTCTGAAGAGTTCTTTGTACAGTTGGCCTAGCAGGAAAGATTGAGCCCTCTTACTGTCCAAGGGCAGTCATAGGGAGCAACCACAAAGTGGTGTTTTTATTGCTTTATATGTTAGTACCTGATTGGCTAGTGTGTTCCAAACACTTACCGCTCTCTGTGCTGTCATTGTATAGGCCTATACTAAAAAAAAGTTTTCTGCATCTTCTAAGTCCAATGGATTAATTATTCAAGCTTTGATTCAAATGATACTTCTTTCTGAAACCTTCCCCAGCTATAACAGATTGTTCCTTCCCACGGTCTGAAAGCATTTGGTTGGTGCCTTTCCATCTGGCTGTACTGCTGTTGCTAATGGTCTCCCCAGCTCCACCCCAAATGTTTGAGGAGGCACTTGTGTTCTATTTTGTGTTTCTTTCAGTGCTTGTCAGGGGGCCTTGCAGGGAAGAAGAGCCTAATGGCTATTTGGACAACCCCTCAAGGCCACCGGGGCATATCTCAACCCCAGGCTGTCTGAATATTGCTTTTCCCACTGCCTGCTGAGCCAACAAATACAAGCACAACCCAGAGGGGGTGGCTGAGAAAGAAGGTTTGGGAATCTGGCTCCAGGCTTCCACTATTCTAGGGACACAGACAGACCACACAACTGAGTGGAACAAGTTATATAGTAACCAGGACCTCAACTCTGGTAAATTTCAGTAAATGTGTAACTTGTCTGTGTACCAGCTCATTTTGTTTATCAGGGAAGAGAGCATTGATTTTCTTCACTTCCTGGAAGAAGTCCCAGCCTGAGAGTGACTGGAGGCCAACACTGCCTGCTGGCCCACTCTCCATAGCCAGGTCAAATGATGCAAATCTCCACCCCCCCCCCCCCCCCTTGGTCACAGAATGCTCTGGGAACCGTTCCATCCCCACCCCTCAGACATAAATAGGGCCTCTGATGAGGCCAAGAGAAGAAGCCATTCTAGTCTTAGAAACTAAAGGAGAAGGTAAGTGAAGCAGAACCCCTCTCTTCATCCCATCCTTCCTAAATTCTTCCTCATTGTCTTTCTTAGAAGGTTGGGAGGTTTCTTTGAGAGATAGTAAGACCCTCATTGCAAGATGAGGGCTAAATGGCACCAGGAGTCAGTAGCCAAAGGTCATGGATGACATAAATGCTGAAAACTCAGAGCGTTCTTCCCTCCTGTGATGCCAAACCGGGGCTATCCTTCCCTTCATTCCCTCTGTGGATATTGCCAAGGAGGTTGTGCTTTCTCAGACGTGGGGCAGGAAAGTCAGATTTTTCTGCTCCCCTCACTAAGGTTGGGTCCCTTGGAGATTGGCTTAATAGTAGAGTCTGGGTGGCCAAGAGTCCAATGGTCTTTTTCCTGGCCAGGGAAAGAAGCTCAGCTTGTTTTGCAGAGAGCAGAGAAAGGGTGGGGGTGGAGGTGGGATAGTTGGAAGACTCAGCTACTCCAGCTCTGGATTCCCTAAAGGCTCGGGGAAGTAATCTAGGTTTTCCTACTTCTCTCCTGGGAACCATGTGCCTGTCTCTGGTTTGGATCTCAAGGTCTGTATCTGTGCAGCAATCAAGCTCATCAGCGTCAGTTGCTAACCCATGATTAATAACAATCTTTGGTTTCCCATGCCCATAGACCACAGTATAAAATAAAAAAAGAACTAACATGGCATCAAAGTTTTTCTCTGAACTTCAAGATAAACCACACGGTCCTGTTCTTATTATTTGCTATTTTAAGAGGTACTATGAATTGGTGCTTAAATATGTGGATGTTGGAATCAGGTTTCCTGGTTCATTTCTAGTTTTGTTTCTAACTGTAAGACTTTAGATGAATCTCTGAACTCCCTAATTCTGCAAAACAATGTTGATCAATTGATTTTAACTAGTTTTTTTCTTGGCAGGGGCGTGGGGTGGGAGAGGGCAGGGCACACGCAGCAATGCTCAGGGCTTGTTCCTGACTCTGAGCTCAGGGATCATTCCTGGCAAACTCAAGGGACCATATATGTTGGGAATCAAATATGGGTCAGTCACGTGCAAGGTAAGTGTTCTACCTGCTTTATAATTGCTCTGGTTCTTTATTATTTAATTAATTTTTTTTCCTTTTGCTTTTTGGGTCATACCCGGTGATGCTCAGGGGTTACTCCTGGAATTGCACTCAGGAATCACTCCTGGCGGTGCTTGGGGGAACTTATGGGATGTTGGGAATTGAACCCAGGTTGGCCGCGTGCAAGGCAAACACACTACCCACTGTGCTATCTCTCCAGCCCCTGCTCTGGTTCCTTAACAACTAATTTCTACTGCTTAAAAGTAGTTACTTAATCGTGAACCTACTATGTTCAAGGTCCATTTGGGAGTATGTAGTACAAAGGAGTTAACAAAACAGACCCAGAATCCTGTTCTCATGGCATTTGCATTCACATGAAAGTGAGAAAAAAATCAATAGAAGAGTAATGACTAGATAGAGATACCAGGTACAGCATTACAAGGTCATGAATGAATGGCAAAAGTAAAATAGAGCAGGATAAGTGCCTTATAGAACCAAGTGTGATAGGGACAATTGGACGGAGAAATATTTTGTTACTGAGCGTCAGCAGGAAGGGAGAGAGATTAGACGAGATTGTGAGGCCTAGATGAGATAATATATAGAAAGGATTAAACAGTGCAAAAAAAGCATTCAAGTATTAAACAGGGCTGGAGTGATAGTATAGCGGGTAGGGCGTTTGCCTTCCATGTGGCCGACCTGGGTTCGATCCCCGGCATCCCATATGGTCCCCCAGCACTGCCAGGACTGATTCCTGAGTGCAAAGCCAGAAGTAAACGCTGAGCATCACTGGGTGTGACCCTAAAAAGCCAAAAAAGTAAAAGTATTAAACAGTGATAAGGGCACGCATAGGCTGCCTGAGCCCGTGTGCTTCTTGTGCCCACGTGGCAGAGCAAATGTGGCGCCTGCCCACGTCATCTCCCTTCTTGAGATGTGTACTTTCATGCTTTCTTGTCTAATGCTAGGATGTGTGTAGGGTCTGTCTCCGCTCTTGGAGAAGCCTGTGTTCTCTCTTGAGTGGGTTACTCTCTCTCTCTCTCTCTCTCTCTCTCTCTCTCTCTCTCACTCACTCACTCACTCTTTGCCCCTCCACATCTTAAAACCCTCCAAATAAAATCTGCTTACTTTAAATAAAAACAAACAAACAAACAAAAAACAGTGATAAGTACTGTGTGAGTGTCACCCTCAACATTATTATGAAGCCACAGGGCTGTAAAAGTAAGAATGAGACTGATTTTTTTTTTTTTTTAAATGGAGACAAGAGCAGGACGAGCATAATAGGCTCACCTGCCTAGGGCACTGCTTAATCCCTAGGACTACTGCCTGTTGGCAAAGAACTGGGGCTACAGCATCAGATGACAGCTGAAAGCAAAGAGCAGCCTTGGCCTGAAGAATAATCCCTAAATTTCTTACCTGTAGCTATGCAGAGCTGCAAAGCACGGAAGGCTGCACTTCCCAGCATGGCTCCAACTAAGGACATATTGGTGCCTGCAGTATTTTTTCCAGTACGCAGGGTTTCCCAGTTTATTCTGGTGACTTTACTTGCTAAGGGCCAAGCATAGGGACTGAGGCTCTCTTTCTCTCTCTGTGTCTGTGTCTGTGTCTATGTCTGTCTGTCTGTCTGTCTGTCTGTCTGTCTCTCTCTCTCTCTCTGACTCACACACACACATACTGACACACACAATTTATTTAAGAAGAATATCCTTTGTTTCTGGGCATAATAGGTTTCCAGACAAGGAATAAGAAACAAAGCATTAATCTAAAGTAAGCTGACTCAGCAAAGAGGAACAAGAAAAATCAACGTGTTAATGTGACCTTGAATCAGTGGTAACATCCTGCAGCTCCAAAAAGAGACATTCTAATTTTGGGAAGGAAGGAGGATAAGTGTAAAGGGTTCAAGAAACTTAAGGAAAACCTGATACTACAGTACAACTCTTTACAAGAAACCAAGTGAGATGTAGTATAAATTCCTAGAACTGAGTGCAGTCATTCATCCTCTCAACTAAGAAGAATTAGGAGATGCAATCAGTTAGAGCCAGCTCTAGTTCTGATCTTTCAGGATCTCCACATCTCAGGCATTTCCCATATACTTGTTGATAGCATGGTGAGCTAGAAGAGAATCATACAGTGTTTCCCAAAGTGGATGTTACAGTCTCCAACCCCAGTAGTGCAGGAATAATCCATGAAAGTGGGGCCATTTATAGGCACCTTTTGCTTGTTCCTTAAATAAGGTAAGTTTCCAAATTACTAAGTAACAGTTTTATTTTTTCCTGAAAGTTAGGCCAAGTATGCTCTAGGGAGACAGGATGCTGGAGTTTACCCCATTCCTCAAACTATGTCTAAGGCAGAACTTCCAAATAATAGTTGCACATCAGAGTCACCTGAAAATTTTTAGAAAATCTATACTTATTCTGAGTACAGACCGATGAAATCAAACTGTTGGTGAGTGAGGTTGGGAAGGGATCATCAGAGCTATATAGGGCTTTTACTCTACAGTGATATTGTAAGTTGGTTTGGGGTTGACCAGTGAAAAATACCTAGACTTTGGCAATTAGGAAACTAAAAACCCCATTCCCAGGATATACTCCAAAGCCACTTAACCAGTATCTCTGGTGGTGAGACCCAGGCCTTCATTGTTTTTGAAGTTTCTTGGTGAGTCTTCTGAACTTAGAGATTCAAAATAACCTGAGAGTGAAAAAGCAGGCACAAATTCCATCTCTCATATAATTTGATTTATGACCTCTGCAGAGATGAGTAACAGTTTCTTTTTTAATTTTTAGCATAATAATCAGATAGGATAATGGCTGAAAAAGGACACTTGTGAATAGTCATATACAAAGCTGAGATCTCTATTTTCTAATTATGCAGCATAGCTGGAAAGTAAAATGAACATTTTCTGGTTGAAATTACACAGCAAGATCACTTTTGCCATGACATTATTGTAAGCTATTATTACACAGATTTATAACTCTCTGTATGTTGGTTTTTCATTCCAAACTGATTTACCACCCACCATGGGCCACCATGTAAATCTGTTGTTGGAACCACAAATGGTTCTCTTGAGGATAGGAATGCGGGCATTTGTTCACTAGGAAGCCTTAACAAGTGTCCTCGATTGGGTGACTTAATCCATGAAAATATATTTTTTCACAGTTTTGGAGGGAGAAAACCCAAGATTAAAGTATGGGTGGGCTGAATTTTTAGGGGGTCTGTCCTTGACTTGCAAATGACTATTTTCTTTCAGTATCTTCACATGGTTGTCCCTTTGCATTTTGTGTCCTTGTCTCTCCTATAATTTCCCCTTGAATAAAATATTGGCTATAAGCCAGTTATACCAACCTTATTTAACTTAAATGATTTCTTTAAAGGCTTTAGCTCCTGGTGGGAAAATGATACAGGGGGTAAGTCGCTGTTCTTGATTGTAACCAACACCAGTTTGGTCCCTGGCACACCATATATAGTCCCCTTAGTACCATCAGGAGTGATCCCTGAGTAAAAAGCCAGGAATAATCCCTGAGTATAGCCAGGTGTGGCCCCAAACCAAAATGTTGATGCTAATAATATTTCAAGGTCCAAACAAATAATACAGGGGTAGAGGCATATAGCAGCATATGGCTAAATTCAAAATCACCAGCCCAGTTGACAAAATATCCCCATGCCTCCTGAATACTGGGAGAAACATTTTAAGGTTGGGGAGTACTATCCTCACCCACAAAAAAGGACTATCTCTAAATGCAGCCACATTTTAAGGTTCCTGGGAGTTAGGACTTCAACATAGGCACTTTTGCATTAATACCAATATCACTGCTCCATTTTTTTTTGACTTTTTGGGTCACACCGGGTGATGCACAGGGGTTACTCCTGGCTCTGCACTCAGAAATCACCCCTGATGGTGCTCAGGGGACCGTATGGGATGCTGGGAATCGAACCCAGGTTGGCCGTGTGCAAGGCAAATGCCCTACCCACTGTGCTATTGCTCCAACCCCTGCTCCATTTTTTTGAACATAAGTCAAGGCACACTGCATTTTGGAATTGACTGCATCCCAGGTCAGGGTGTGTAATTTTTCTCTCCTTTTCTCTCATATTTTATAAATAAAACTATTTTGCTTGAAATAAGTAAGTCAAATTGTTTTTGTATTAGTCTCTATTAAACATGTAATTATTGAATAAATCATGTAAGTGATTAGCATAGATAATATCATTAGTTATCTGTATTCTTGAAGAAATGTGTTTAAAATATTTTGTGAAAAGATTTACTTATAGTTTTACTTGATTTAATGAGCAGTTAGATAGTTTTAAATATGCAAATGTCTTAACAGTAAGACATTTTCATGATTAAAAATATCATTAAAAGAGAAAACACGTGCTCACTTCAGCAGCACATATACTAAAATTGGAACAATACAAAGAAGATTAGCATGGCCCCCATGAAAGAATGACAAGAAAAAAAAAAAAGAAAACAAAACTGATTCCCCAAATTGAACCGTACAGAAGTATAAACAGTAAGTTTTATATCTGGATTGTATAGATACTATCTACGGAGCATTTGATGGATTTTCCCTGGGTTAAGTGATCACAGGAAATATTGCATTAACTAAAAGTTTGGCTATAGCAACCTTAATAATAATGTTTTTACCTTTTACCAAATGATATTTTAGGTTACACAGAATCAAGTGCTCCCTTTAGAATGACTTCTGCTGACATGAGTCTAAAGGCCACTGTGCTTTGCCTCTTGGCCTTGACTGACCTTGCCGTTGGTGATCGGGTGTATGTACACCCCTTCCACCTCCTTGTCTACAGCAAGAGCATCTGTGATCAGCTGGAGAAATCCAACGCAGATATGCTCAAAGAACCGACCTTCACACCTGTCCCAATTCAAGCCAAGACATCCCCTGTGGATGAGGAAGCCCTTCAAGAAAAGCTGGTGTTGGCCACTAAGAAACTAGATGCAGAAGACAAAAAGAGAGCTGCAGAAGTGGGAATGCTGCTTAACTTCTTGGGCTCCCGCATGCATAGAATGTTGAGTGAGAAATGGAGCTCCAGCAATGGGGCCATCCTTTCCCCTGTGACATTCTTTGGCACACTGGCGTCTCTCTACCTAGGAGCTTTGGACCCTACAGCCAACAGACTTCAGGCATTTCTGGGTGTCCCTAGGGAGGGTCAGGACTGCATGTCTCGGCTAGATGGTCATAAGGTCCTCTCTACTCTGCAGACCATTCAAGGCCTTCTGGTTGCCCAGGGTGACACTAGCAGCCAGAACAAGCTACTCCTATCCACAGTGGTGGGTCTGTTTGTAGCTCCTGGCCTGCACCTGAAGCAGCCATTTATGCAGGGCTTGGCACTCTTTGCCCCAGTCACTCTCCCACGCTCTCTAGACTTGTCCACAGATCCAGATCTCGCTGCTGAGAAGATCAACAGGTTCATACAGGCTGTGACAGGATGGAAAATGAACGCCGTGACAGGAATTGGCTCAGGCAGCAACCTGGTTTTCAACACCTATGTCCACTTTCAAGGTAAGGCAAACCATAAGGTGAGCTCTGTTTCCTAGACTGTGCCAGAGGGTGAAAGTTCTTTGTCTTTATGGGTTCAGTGGCCAATGGCTTAGCTGAGTTAAGCAAGAAGAGGTCTATGGAATAGGTGATGTGGAATTTCCCAGGAACCATCCTCCAAAGGATGGAAATGACTTTTCTGTGGGGCTCTTTGTATCAGCATTGCTCGAGCATCAACTTATACACCTGCTGTCTTACTGTGTGCCAGCTATAGTGCTTCCTTTTACTTTGTTCATTTAGTATTCTCATGAGGTTAAATGCAGAAAGAAGTTTTTCTGGTGAAGAAAATAAAGACTCAGCAAAATAAAACCCACTTATCCAAGAGTGCTACAGAGGGTCTTGTGAAGAAAGTGTTCCAGAATCCAGGGATTGAGTTCATACTTCCTGTCCCGAGACTATGTTCAATAGTGGCAAGTTTCTATCCCTTTGATATATCAAAGTTTCCTGTCTCTTATAAGATCACCATACCTTGCAAGATATTGAATTTGTTTGCTTAAATTACTTTCATATTAGGAGAGGTAATTATCCCTCAAATCCCTACTATACAGATTTTTTTTTTCAGTAGTCATTGAGAATTTGTTACTTGTAAGATTTTGAGTTGAATGTCTCAGAAGACCTGAATAGGAAAGATAAATATGCCATTCTACCCCAGCTTACTTGTTCAATGGCAGAAATAGAGCCTGTGAACAACCATGGCCACAAAACTACAGGTACAGTTCTCAGAAGGTACTCTGGGACTCAGGCCTCAGAGAAGGGAGGGAAATTGAAAGGCAGATGAAAGGACTAAGGTTAGCTAGGAGAGCAGGGCTGTGGTGAATAGGAAGAGCAAAGGTATAAGCAAAGATTGCCACACTCAAGGTGAGGAGCAAAAACAGTTTGGCCAGAGCTTAGAATGAGAGAATGAGACCAAAGCAGAAAGAGATAGAAAGGCATGACACGACCTGCTTTGAAGACTGAATGTGATACTTAGGAAGATTGGAGTTTATTGGTGGGTAGGTGTTTGAGTAGATAAGCCTTCTGCCCAGAGGTCATTCAAGAAGATTTTTCTGTATGGATTGGAGGCAGGGAAGAGCTTTAGAAGATTATGCAACTGGATAAGCAAACGGAAACAAAGGCTAAAGTACTGGCTCTGAAATTGGCTATTGACTGAGGAGGAAAGCATGTGAGGGGCACAGTTAACATCCAATGTGCAAGCTGTGTGGGACAGAGACAAAAAAGCAAGTAGTCACAAAGAGCTGGAGAGACAGCACACAGGTGCCTGATTCATATTCTTGGGGTTCAAGAGAAGATGATGAAACTGTGATTTATCAGGTCCCAAAATGGATGGTGTACATGAGTGGAGACCAGGGTAGGGGTTACTCAAATAGCGGGATCAGATGACCTCTTTGATAAATATTATATAAAGAGAGGATATTTGGGATCTCAGAGGAACTCATTGAAAAATTTGTGTTCCCAAAAATATAAAGGGAGAGAGTCACGGGTGTCAGAAATCAGGACTCATTTCAGAGATGGTGCCAGCCCACATGATTCATTTGTTAAATATGAACAAGAAGGAGGAAAAAGACATGGGGAAACAAACTACGCTAAGAATAAATAAGTCACCACCGTTAGCCCACTTATCTTGCTTCCAAACCTCAGTTTCTATCCAAGATGCATACCAAATACATGCCCACCTCAACGTGTCCATATTTGAGATTAGTGGTCTCTCTCAGCTTTATTTGCAATCATGACCCATGAGCAAAGGTGAATGTTTCTATGTAGCAAAGATGAGTATTGAGGAGCCAATGATCTTTAGGTTATCTTTACTGCAATGGCTCTGGCAGTTTCTGGGACACCAGTTTACCCTGATGGTTTACCTAACCTCTGGGTAAGGACAAGATGTGTAATCAAATGAGCAGGGAGGGGAGAACAGCCACCTCTGTTCAGATCCTGGTGTCTTTCTGGGGGCAGCATCCTATTTTTATTTGTTGGTGGATAGAAAGGCTTCCCTGCCTTTCTATGCCCAGCTGCACAATCTTAATAGCGTCCTGCCAGGCCCATGGACCTGCCTGAAAGTCCTCGTGGAGAAGTTTGAAGCTTCCTCCTCAGACACCCTCTGAGGGAGAAGTTTGAAGCTTCCTCCTCAGACACCCTCTGAGAAGCATGGCTGTCTACCACTAAACATGTAGCTGTAATGACAAAGAAGCCATTAGTATACCGTGTGCCACTTCCTGCAGGGCACCGATAGAGCACAATCATTCCAGTTCATACCCACCAGGAGTCCTGTACTCCCTACTCTTCGGAGGCTTCTGGATCAGTAAAACAGGAACACTGATTCTTCTTTTGTGGGAGGGTTAGGCCATAGTCAGTGATTCTTAGAGGTGGAGGTGATAGAACCAGGGACAGACACATACATGGCAGGCACTCTAGCCCCCTGTTCTCTTCAGTCCCTGTATTCTGACTTTTTCTAGCCCAATTTTACTCAGACTCTCCAGTTTTAGGTACCCCTCCCCAATGACATGTCATTATTCATCTTACTCTCCCAGAATAGTCACCAAAAGGGCCTTTGAAGATGAGAGGTATAAAGAGGGAGGGGAATGTTCTGAAGGGACAGTCATCAAGAGAGACCCCAAATGAGTGTCTTTGACAGAGTTTGCTCAAATTTCTCAGGACACCCCTGTTGCCCTCCCTACAAGAAACAGGCTTTACTTGTCCTCCAGGCCAGGCCAAAGGTTCATTTCATTTTTTTCTCAAATGCATCAATCACAACTAGATCATGTGTCTGTCCCTAGCAGCAAGAGGAGCACGGTGAATGAGAATATAGTCATTCCATAAGGTGTGTACAACACACTCACACTAAGTTTTCTCCAGGCACAAGAGAAGTAGAATAAAAACAGGACAAGTCAGTTATCTCTTGCAGTTGCATGGTATGCAGATTAAAAGTGAAGGTACACTAGAGAAAACTTAGGGCAGTGAAAAAGCTCTGCATGCTATTAGCATGGTAGATTTGTGTCCAATGCAGACGGCACAGTGGCAAGAATAAAAACTACCATGGATGATGAACTATTAGTGATGAGGTGATGACTCCTGATTAGTGTAGGGGCCTTGATGTCACAGGTTCACCATTCTGGTAGGGCTGCTGATAGTGACAGAGTGAGGATGTGGGAGGGAGTAGAACATAAATGGAACATATCTGTATCTTCCTCTTAATTTTGTTTAAAAATGGTACAGAAACAAAATATATAAAATATATAATCCTGGATGGTTGCAGGCTACCCTCTATGGCAGATCTGGTTTGAGTGACTGGTCAGTTACTAGTGCAGTGGGTTCCTTAAGCTTTCTGGCTTGAGGACAATTACTTGAAAAGCTAAAATGGTTGAATGGTGCAGAAGGAGACTTGAGAGGGACTCAGGGTTCTGGGAATGGTAAAGTGTTGGGACCTGAAAATTGGGTAGTGTTCTGGGAAGAGAAGTGTTGGGAAGGTACCAGTTGTCTGGGGTTGGGGAAGATGTATACTGGTCTATCCTGTCACTCTCAGCCCAGTTTTTGCCCTTTGCTCTGCAGTCTCCCTGTCCTGAGCCCATACATTCCCAAGCCTCCTTTTCTGACTCTTCTTTCCTCGTTTTTTTTTCTCCCCCAGGAAAGATGAAGGGGTTCTCCTTGTTGGATGGGCTCCAGGGCTTCTGGGTAGACAATACTACCTCAGTGTCAGTCCCCATGCTCTCAGGCACAGGTAATTTTCAGCACTTGGATGACACTCAGAACAACATGTCCACGACGCTTGTGCCTCTCAGTGAGAATGCCTGCCTGCTCCTGATCCAACCCTACTGTCCCTCTGACCTGCGAAGAGTGGAGACCCTCATCTTCCAGCACGACTTCCTGACAGGAATGAAGAATTTGGCTCCTCGGTATGCCTCCCAGAACCACTTGGACACCTTAGGATGCTCCCCCTGCAATGTGTGAGCAGGTGGTACATGGTGGTACCCATTAGTTAGGGTACTACATTACTTCTGTTCCGGACAAGAAGCCTGGGCACCCACTCATCATCTTTCCACTCGTCTCTTGATCACTTTGATCTAGGGTCTCTGTAATCAGGAGAGGTCAAGGAGGGGGGGATGCATACTTTTTCTTTCTTTCTTTCTTTCTTTCTTTCTTTCTTTCTTTTTGGCCCACACCTGGCGATTCTTGATTTTCATTGATGCGGTGATCCTGGCTTTGCACTCAGGAATCACTCCTGGAGGTGCTCGAGGGACCATTTGGGATGCTGGGAATCAAACCCGAGTCAGCATGCAAGGCAAATGCCCTACCTGCTGTGCTATCGCTCCAGCCCCAGAAGCAAACTTTTCTTTGTGCTTATGTTTTCCAGCAGTTTGAAGATCAAAGGCACATCTCTTTCTTTCTTTAAAAAAATTGAAATTCAATTTAAGAACCATGCTTTACAATGTTATAAAATATTTCAACATTCATCCCACAACCAGTATCAACTTTCCTCTACCAGAGTTCCCATACTCCCTTCTGTTCCCTCAACTTTAGCCACCAGACCCTCCACCTGCCATTTTGACAGATACATTTCAAAGTTTGGTGGTTGTAATTTAGATAGCACAGTGGTAGGGCATTTGCCTTGCACATAGCCGGCCCAGCCGAGTCGGGTTCAATTCCTCTGCCCCTCTGGGAGAGCCTGGCCAGCTACTGACAGTACCCGCACAACAAAGCCTGGCAAGCTATCCGTGATGTATTCGATATGCCAAGCACAGTAACAACAAGTCTCACGATGGAGACGTTACTGGGCCCTCTCGAGCAAATCGATGAACAACGGGAGGACAGTGACAGTGACAGTGACAGTGACAGTTTTCAGTGTTTCTGAGTCTGTGCTTTGGATATATAACTATACCACTCTCCCACATTACTAGTATACCCAAGGCTTCTGATTCTGTTCCTTCATTACTTTCCTTTTTCATCTTTTTGCTCCCCCGCCTTAATTTCTTTCCTTCTTCATCCTTCTCGTTGTTATACTTTGAGATCAAAGGGTGATCTAATGCATACCCCCTTTACTACATCACATCTCCTCTTCCGGTTATTCTATATACCACAGATAAGTGAGATCATCCTGTTTTTGTCCTTCTGGCTTACTTCACTCAATATGTTCTCTTCCAGTTCCAACTAGGTGGCAGCAAATTGCACAGTTTCATCATTCCGAGCAACAGCGTAGTATTTCAATTTGTGTATATACCACATATTCATCTAGGTATCCAAATTGACAGTCCATTCATCTGTCAATTTGGAAACCTAGATTGATTTCATATCTTAGTTATTGTACTAAAGTTCTACAATGAATAATGGTGTGCAAATATCTTTTGAAATGAATTTTTTTTTGGTCTTGGGCATAGATGTCCAAAAGTGGAGTTGCTGGATCATATGGCAGCTCAATTCTGTTTACGAAGAAACCTCCATGCTGTTTTCCACAGGAGTTGAACCAGACATTTCCACCAGCATGAGATAAGAGTTCCTTTTTCACCACATCCCCATCAACACATGTTTCCCCCACTATTTTGGGCCATTCTCATTGGTAGCACTGCAGCACTATCCTCCCATTGTTCATCAATTTGCTCAAGCAGGCACCAGTAATGTCTCCACTGTGAGACTTTTTTTTTTAATTTTGTATTTTTTTTTTATTAGTGAAACACCATGAGGTACAGTTGTAGATTTACAATTTTTTGTGCTTGGGTTTCGATTATACAATGATCAGATACCCATCCCTCCACCAGTGCCCATTTTCCACCACCATGGATAATATCCCCCCCACCCCCATCCCTCCTTCCCCCCCTGCCTCTGTGGCAGGGCAATCCCTTGTGTTCTCTCTCTCCTTTTGGGTGTTGTGGTCTGCAAAAGAGGCATTGAGTGGCAAACATGTTCAGTCCATAGTCTACTTTCGACATGCATCTCCCCTCCTGGGAGGATCCTCCAAACACCCTTTATTTGGTGCTCCCTTCTCTATCTGAGCTGCCCTTTCCCCTAGAATGCCCGGTTGGCCTCTAAGCTATGGACTAATCCTCCTGGTGCTGATCTCAGCTATTCTTGGGTATTAATCTCATATTTTGTTACTTTATATCCCCCAGATGAATGCAATCTTTCTATGTCTATCCCTCTCTTTCTGACTCATTTCGCTTAGCATGATACTTTTCATATTGTACCACTTGTATGTAAATTTCATGACTTCATCTTTTCTAAGAGCTACATAGTACTCCATTGTGTAGATGTACCAAAGTTTCTTTAACCAGTCATCTGTTCTTGGGCATTCAGGTTTCTTCCAGTTTCTGGCTATTGTAAAGAGTGCTGCAATGAACAAACAAGTGCAGATGTCACTTCGACTATACATTTTTGCCTCTCTGGGATATATTCCCAGGAGTGGTATTGCTGGGTCAAATGGGAGTTCAATTTCTAATTTTTTGAGAATCGTCCATACTGTTTTCCAGAAGGGCTGAACCAGTCGACATTCCCACCAACAGTGAAGGAATGTTCCTTTCGTGGGCGAGATACTCTTAGTAGCTTGCCAGGCTCTCTGAGAGGGACGGAGGAATTGAACCCGGGTCAGGCAAGGCAAACACCCTAACCATTGAGCTATTGCCCCAGTCACTTTTCTACTACAGTGGGAATAAATCACTTAGCTGACACTGAGGTACTAGATTTTTAAATTTTTTAAAATTTTTGGCTTATTTTGGGTCAGACCTGGTGATACTTAGAGGTTACTCATTGGCTCTACACTCAGGAATTGCTCTGGCGGTGAGGCACTAGATTTGACCTATGTATTAGACCTAGAGCATGAGGTCCAGAATTTTTTCTGAGGATGTCACTAAGAGGTAAAGGTGAACTAATGGAGTTAAATATTTTTAAGTCATTTTAAAAATTGTGTTAAACATATAAAATACATTACACTCCTCTAGTAGGAGAGTGACCCCTCCCCTTGTTTCCAGGGTTCTTTTATACTTTAAAAAATGCATGGGGCTTCCCTGACTATCTTGCGCCATTCCCTGGTGACCTTTTTCTTGATTGGTTCAGTGGTTATATCTACTGACTTCATGTGGGGTAATTCTGCCCCATAAATGGGTAGGAGTAGCTTTGGCTGATTCTCATAAATGGTTATTACCTGGTTCAACTGACAGTTACTGGGAAAAATTGTGCTTTTCCAAAATGGCTCTGCTGATGCTAAGCATGGCTAAGTATTGTAGGAGGAGAGAGTAGGCCTTCACTTTATGTTTCCCAGAGAGCACTACTATTAAGGGCTGTACATCCTCACTCTATTTTTAAAGGAAGAAAGTATTTTTGGTTTATCGGTTTATTTTTGGTTCTGGAGCCACACCAGAGTGGTTTGGGTGGCCTTATGTCACTCCAACCTGTGCTCAGGAAACCATGGATTGCTGGAGATTAAACCCAGGTGGGGTCCTTCTTGCAATGTATATGCTCCAGTCCATAGAGATTTGTTTCAATTGGATTTGCTGCTGAAAATTTCCCCAAGACAAATTGGGTAAGGGGCAGATATCTTTTCTTCAAGGAAATAATACTATCTGGCTTCAAGGAAATAATACTATCTTTGGTTCTCCCTTCTCTGAGGTATCCTGAACAAACAGTGAGATTACTCCTTACCCCAAAACAAACATCTTAACTGTGTATTATCTCTACAGGATAATCCACCTGACCTTGCCAAAAGTGGTGCTGAGAGGATCCTATGACTTGCAGAATCTGCTCTCCCAGGCCAAGCTGGGTACCCTGCTGGGAGCCGAAGCAAACCTAGGCAAAATCAGTGACACTGGTCTCAGAGTCGGCAAGGTACACTGTTACGACAGGGCAGGGTCTGGGGCTATGTCTGCCTGGCTTGGTCTGTGTGCTCATTGGGAGGGACTCAGAGAAAGCGTCAGGGAGTAGGGGGGAGGGTAAAAGGGGGAGCTGGGTGAGTGCCCAGGGTTGGAAAAAAAGGTCAAAGTTTTTTGTCTCTCTGGAAACAAGTGGAGAGAGCAAAGTTCTCTCATCATGTGTTAGGTGATTCTGCCCAGCCTGGTCTAACCTGTCAGTTCTCCCCAGATCCTGAGCAGAATTGGGAGGAGGACCTGGACAGTTAATGGCTCTAGGTTCAGTGGCCTCAGTCAGGCTGTTTTTGACACTATACTGTCCTCCCAAATTCACTGGGTACTGTGTTGAGTGGTCGGAACAAAAAGAGACGTGGCATTGTTCCTGCCCCTGGGATTACTTGGGGTTGGGGACTCTCTGCTAAATAACCAAGATGAACAAAGCACTTGGTAGACAACATCAGAGAGCTCAGGAAGTCTGCCCAAAACAGCCAGGTGGATCTTAGAGACATGTTAGGGAATTGCCACTGGGCATGTTTGGCCAAGTGAGAGGGTGGTTGAAAAACATGGGTATCTGTGGGCAGTGGGTATGTGCGTGTGTACATGTGGATGTGCATGTGTGTGTGTGTGTGTGTGTGTGTGTGCGTGCGTGCATGCGTGTGTGTGTGAGTGTGTGTGTGTGTTTGTGTGTGTGTGAATTAGCCTGTACAGGTGGAAGGAATTTCCTCTTACCAGGAAGCCCAGCATGCCATGTTGCACTCTCCTTGTGACACAATACTTATTGTCTTGCAGGTGCAGAATAACCTTCTTTTTGAACTAAAAGAAGGCAAGAGTGAACAACCCTCAGAGAATGGCCAAAGCCTGAAGGTTACCCTGAACACCCCGTTTTTGTTTGCCCTTTATGAGCGAGAGTCTACTGCCCTGCACTTTGTGGGCCATGTGATCAACCCGCTGAACATGGTGTGAAGTCCCTACTGGATTGATTAGAAGGCAATGCCAAGTTGTAGAGCCAGGCAGATTTTTCACCTTTTCTCCCAATGAGTCATGTGAATCTGGAAAGAAGCTGTGTCTTGTCCGTGAATGTGGAGATTAATATAATGTGCAGCAAATTCTGAGGTCTCAAAAGGCCCTGTTGGGGGTGGGGATGGGGAGAGACACAACCAGGATTTCACATAAAACTACTATTCAGAAACAGTTCAAATGGATGCAGCTATTTGTGAGAACTAGAATTGTTTCCTTTTAAATTGAGAACAGAAATATGCTTTTCAAAGTTAAATGCACGCTTTCCCTTGCCCTGGATTTATATTTAGCTATTGAACCTGCATACAGTCTCCACAAAGTTTTAGTTTTTCTTGGTTTCTCAATTTTTTCTTCCTGTAAACACAAGCTCCTGGATTTATGCTAGAATGTGCTATATTCTGGCTGATTTCCCATTGTGTTATTAATCAATATCTTTTAACAAAAGGCAGAAAGAACATTATAATTTTTCCTTAACAGCAAACAAAAAGTTAATCCTCACTGACCATAAATCCTTGGAAACAGTAAAAGCAAGTTGGCTGGAATTTTTTTTTATCTTATATCAAAATGATATGGAACTATACTACTTATTTTCCATGATCTGTATCTGAAATTTAGCTGACAAGCATACAAGTGAAGGAACATAGACAAGAGAGATGGGAACAGAAGCATGAGGGTGGGAGTGAAGAGCTGTTTGGGTATTGGTTAATTTTTTTTTTCCTGTATGTGGGATGACTCTAAGCACAACTGTCTGTTCTGTTTGCCTGGAAATTGCCCTGCTCAGGCCATGTCCTTTCCTCCAACTGGCCATCCTGCCCACGCATAGGGGGTCTGGTGTCAACCAAATCTTGCTGTGTGGATGGATGGGGGCACCCCTATTCCTCTGACATATAATATCAGTAACAACTGCCAACAAATCTCAGCTTCTCACATTCACTAAAATTTTGGAATTTTAGCTTTTATGTCAAGGGTAATAGCAAGTCCTTCCTGGCTCTGTGGGTGTGACTCTTCTGGTGAGGTTTTTGCTCTGTTGTGCTAGGCACACGATAGGTAATATGGCACGTGTATACTTGTTTACAAGAGTATGGATTCTAGAGACTGACATGCTAGACTGGAAGACAACTGCCAATGCTGAGTAATCCAAAACTATTTTACTTTTCTGGACCTCTCTATCCTTATTCATAAGATGGGTAAATGTTATAAGGACATTGGTGGATGGTCTTGGGCACTTTTGGTGGTGACCAAGTTCATAAGTTCATATCATAAACATTAACACTATTACTACCATGTAACCTAAACTATAATAAAAATTATTTTAAAAATTAAAATTGTAAAAGTTTGAGTAAATACATGAATAATAACCACTACAATCTGAATGCCATTCAGTCCATAAAGAAGTAATAACCTCCATGCTTTCTTAGAGTTCTACTTCATGAAAGGTGCACAGTACTGATGCTTAATAATGGCCCCTGAGGTAACCAGGTCCTAATTCATGGAGTCATGAGTGTGAACTTATATGACATAGGGAACTTTGTAGATGTGATTAAAGCTGCTTTTTAGTTCTTTAGGAGTCACACCTGGCATTACTCAGGGCCTACTCCTGACTCTGTGCTCAGGAATCACTCCTGGTGTTGCTAGGGACTGAATTGGGGCTGGCTGCTTTCAAGGTAAGAATCTTAATTCCTGGTGGCTGGAGAGATAGCACAGCGGGTAGGGCATTTGTCTTGCATGCGGCCGTCCTGGGTTTGATTCCCAGCATCCTGTATGGTTCCCCCAAGCAGGAGGAAATTACCAGGAGTAATTTCTGTGTGCAGAGCCAGGAGTAACCCCTGTGTATCGCCGGGTGTGACCCAAAAAGGAAAAAAAAGTCTTAACTCCTATACGATGTCTCTGGCTCTGTGTTTTGAGAAGATGATCCTGGATCCATGACCCTGAATTAAATCACATGTGTGGTTATGAAGAGATTTGAAGATCAAAGGGAAAAATATTAGTGGGTAATAGGTGATATGATGTGGGGCCAAGGATCAAGGAATGAAGAAGTTTGAAGAAACTGGAAAAGGATATTATTTAAGGGTTTCAGAGGGGAACATTGCTTGCCAACATTGTGATTTTGGCCCAATGAAATTCAAATTTTCCTTGTGATCTTAAATCTGCTTAGTTTTTGTTAACTTGCTATTAGCAGAAAAAGGTAACATACGGAAACCCTGTCAGTTCTCTTGGTGGGTGGCATTTTGGGGGGTTCTTCCAAAGCTACTCGCCCAATGTTACAGGCTCTTCTCCTTAGTATTACTTTCAGAATAAAACTAAATGCTTCTCACTTATTTGTTAAAGAGAACTGCTGACTGTAGAAGAGGCAAACTGGCATTTGGAAAATATGGGAGGTCAAGTATTCCAGAGAAGCTAGAGGACCTCAGTTTGCTAGAGAAACTTGAAATACAGGCAGCACCCAACCTGTTTTTGAGTAGGGGGTGAAAATTTCTTCTGGATAGTCTTTCAGTTCCTAGCAATACTTCTACTCCCATTCCATTCCCCAGAACAACCTTCAGTTTCTGGGTGACATAAAGAGCCCCCGGAGACATGTCATATAGATAGTGATGATGCTTCATGGTAGCATTTCACAGGATCTGTTACCTCCTTCCAGAGAGCAAATGAACTTGAGCAAGTGCTGCACGTTCATGGCCTCTGCAGATCTCACATGATGTTTGCGAAAGTTACACTTGCTCCCAATGGGCTTTGCTTTGTTACTCTGAATAGACTGCAATAGTTCTATTATATATTAGATAGATTTCAATATTATATATTATTATATTAGATGGCAATATTCGATATTGAATAGACTTCAATAGCTCTGAATAGTCTGAACAGACTCCCTCACCAGCAGCTATAGATGCTGATCAGTTCTGCCATCTGAGGTTCTTGGGGACTTTGTTCTCTTGGGCAGTCTCTTCCTCATGGTGTTAGAGATTTACATATGTCTGTCTATCACCAGTCTCAGTGTTTCCTGGAGCTTTTACTGTTAAAGGGCCAATGTGAGAGGCTGGATATATAGGACAGCTGGTAAGGTGCTTGTTTAGCATACAGCCAGCCCAGGGTTGATTCCCAGCACCCCATATGGTCCCTGGAGTCCCACCACTCAGTGATCCCTGGGTGCAGAACCATGAGTAAACCCTGAACACTGCCAGGTGTGGTCCCAAGACAAAACAAAAGGCCACAGTGGGGGAAGGTCCTGACACATGTCTCTCCAAGTTGGGTCTTTTCTGCCTGGATGACAAATCACTCAGGAGAAACAGAAGTCGAGGAAGCAAGTTATTTGAAGCTTATCTGAAGGAATAGCAGCTGAGGTCCACCTAAACCTGTTAGGTCAGAATTACCGTCTTTTTTTCTTTTTGGGTTAAACCCAGCGATGCTCAGGGGTTACTCCTGGCTCTTCATTCAGGAATTACTCCTGGTGGTGCTGGGGGACCATATGGGACGCCAGGGATCGAACCTGGGTTGGCCGCATGCAAGGCAAATGCCCTACCCTCTGTGCTATCACTCTGGACCCAGAATTGCCTTTTTTTTTTTATATAAACATTCACTTGATCACTTGACATCCTGTTACTCATCGATTTGCTCAAGCAGGCACCAGTAACGTCTTCATTTGTCCCTGTCACGTGCTAGTGTAGCCCAATGGTGTCTTCTCATTCTAGGAACATGAAGAACCTCAAACCGATCATTCAGGGTCTTGACGAAGAAGTCTGACCATCTCGTAGGTGGGCAGCCACGTGATCTTTTGGCGTCCTGTGGAATCCAGTCAATAATGGCTCTAGTACAGCAGTTGTCTCCAAATCTCATTACGTGTCCAGCCTATCTGATTTTCAATGCCTTGGCAAACAAGACAGCATCCCTGATTCTTGACCATCACCGAGGTCGGAACTCGGGATTCTTTCTCTCATTTGAGTGAAGTGTGATACTCCAAGCATAGCTCTTTTGATTCCTCTTTGGGAGACCCAAATAGTGTTCTCATCCTGTTTTCGTAGGGACCAGGTCTCTGAGGCGTATGTTAATGCAGAAAGAACAGTGGAATTGAAGAGATGTGTCTGGAGCCGGAGGTTCTTCATCCTCTTAGCTATTTCTTCGACGCTCTTGAAAGCATTCCAAGCCGCTCTCTTCCTCCTGCGCAACTCAGGTGCCAGGTCATTAGTCATGTTGAATTCTCGAACTAGGTACACATAACTGTTGCATTCGGAGATGTTCTTTCCATTGAGAGCAAATGGAATGTCAGGAACAAAACTGTTTCTCATAAACATTGTCTTCATGAGATTCAGCTGTAGTCTGACCTTACCACACTCACGGTCTAAGTCAGCCAGCATTTGTGCTGCTTGGCTAATGTTTGGTGTTATTAGAAAGATGTCATCAGCAAAGCAGAGGTGGTGTAGTTGCTGACCATCTATCTTCACTTCCATTCCTTCCCATCGCATGATGTTCTTGAGAGTTTCGGCACTTAAGAGTTTCGGTGAAATAGTATCGCCCTGCTGAACCCCTCTCTTGGCGTCAATGATCACTTCCCTGTAGAATGGTGAGATCCCGGTAATGGATTTGTAATACAGCTCACTGAGGATCCTGATGTATTGAGTTTGAAGTCCTGTTTGGCTAGGGATTCGACGACTGCTTCCGTCTCAACAGAATCAAAGGCCTTCTTTAAATCAATGAATGTTAGACAGAGCAGCATCTTGAACTCCCGAGAAACCTCAGTGAGCTTGGTTATCGTGTGGATATGGTCGATAGTGCTGAATCTTTTGCAGAATCCAGCTTGCTCGCATGGTTGTCCATCTTCTAGTGTTCTGCCAATCCTATTCAGATGACTTGAGTGAACAGTTTGTAGATGAGACAACAGGCAGATTGGGCGATAGTTGCCAATGTCATGGATGTCTCCCTTCTTGTACAGTAGTACAAGAAGGCTGGTTTTCCATTGGGAAGGAACCTTGCATTCAGATAGGTAGCGTGTGAAGAGCTGAGCCAGTGTATTGATGAGTACCGATGGCAGATTCTTCAGGTGTTCGGGTCTGACCTTGTGTGGGCCTGGTGCTGTTTGCATTACTTCCTATAAAATGTTCCTTGTGTTCTTTTTCTTTTTAAAATTATATATATTTTATTTTCATAAAAGTAGTTCACAATAGTTTATTACAGATAATATTCAAACACCAATCCCACCACTGAGCACCTTCCCTCCACAATAAAAGGGAAGTGTGTGAAGGTTGTTGTATTTCATTCTGGAGCCATTTAAGCCCATAGAGAAGAGAATACAACCAAGTATGTTAAAACCAAACACATGTGTACTACTTTTGATAAGTAAGTGAGATAGAGTGTAAGAGGTTGTGTGGCTGCGAAAGCAGCCCTGCATTCCAGGACATTCTGAGTCGTTCTCTTCTGGGAGCTTTAGTTTATAGTCTCTGGGTCTTGGCCATTGATGAGATTACATGGCGCCGGGGGCAATTTGTGGGTGTGACTGCCAAGCTACTGGAAAACTGGGGAGCTGCGGAGAGGAGGCCCATTCCCGATCCAAGCAGGGTTGGAGATCTCAGTCACAGGTTCCCGCATACCTGTTTTTTTTTTTCTGCTAGTTTCTTCTTGGGTGAGGTTCATCCCCTCTTGGGTGAGGCTTGTCCGAGTGTGTGGAGAGTGGACTTGAGCATGGTGGTTGTTGGGTTCTGAAGGTTTTTGGCTGCTGGGATTCTGCTTGGGGTGGGGAGGGAAACTCAATCCATTCCCCTCCGAGGTGCCCCGGTGAAGACAGCCTGGTGCAGGGTCAGGACATTCTTTCCTTGTGTTCTTATAATGTTGAATATTAGAGTTTAGGAAACATGCAATGAATGGTTTGTAGACTCTCCACCCCAAGTGCAAGCTTCAGACTGCTAGGCTCCAATGTTTGGATTTATGCTCTTGGTAGGTGACACATCAAATCAAAAGAATGATGGCAATTAATTATTTTAATTTAAAGAACCACTATTTACAAAGTTATTGATAGTTGGATCTTAGGCAAACAGTATTTTGACACCAATCCCACTACAAGCGTCAACTTCCCTCCACCATGTTCCCATACTCTCTGCCCCTGTCCCCACCTGCCACCTTGACAGGCACAGTAGACTCATTGTCAGTAGTTTTAGAAATTATGAAAAAACATTACCAAGGACTATGGAAAATTCTTTTATATTTTCCAAAACTATTTCTAATGAGTGAAAATCTGGGTTGGCTATGAATTTAAATTAGCACTTCTCAGTTTCTCCCAGTCTAAGCCTTCCTTCATTTGACAAAAATTTGTGGGATGCCAACAAATAATCTGGCTTTG